CTGTTGTATACGGACCGTATGAACTCTTCCAATGTCTGAGATTGTGCCCAGGCATCGAAGTTTTGACCGTAACCCTGTTGTTGCATTAAGCCATTTAACCAGCGGGCTACTGACCCTTCTAAAAAGGAGGCAGCCACTACAACTTCTTGCTCTGGCCTTGTGAGCTTATGCCTCACATAAGTAGGCACAGTTCTCACCCAAGTGTCCAAGTTTTCCTCCTTCTTCTTATCGCCAGAGAAGGGCTTGGGACTCATCAAAGTTATCTTGGGCATCCACTGCATAGGCTGCATGGGTTGCAGCAGCTGCATAGCCACTGAAACAGGCTGTTGCATACTAACCTGAGCCTGGCTGGACAGTGGGACTGTAGTGACCACTGTTGTAGATGGTACGGCTGAGACTGAATGAACTGGACCACTAGTTGCTACTAAACCACCCGGGGAGGGTATGCCAAACATGGGAGAGAAAGTTTGCCTTGTGCGTTGCGGCATCGATGATGGACCCGCAGCGGCAGGGGGAACTACAGCAAACTGTGGCGGCCTCACCATAGTGCGAGGGCCCCGAAGTTCAGCCAGAATTTGTTTCTGGCCTGCTACCAAATCAGCCAACAATTCCTGCTGAACGCTTTGCGCTTCCGCCACTGAAAGTAAGGTGCCTCGCAGCACACGGACAGCAGGGTCTAATGTTGACTCATCGAGTCTTTCTAGTTTGCCTAGCTCCTGCGCTCTACTCTCTAGTCTAGCCTTTCTTTGCATAGCTTTCCTTCTCCTCTCTACTACATTGTCCATCTGCCGCTGTAACTCATCCTGAAGTTCTTCTGCCTGCCGGATTTCTAAGTCCTCCGGCGTGAGTGGAGACTGGCTGACTCGCACGTGACCAATCTGACTAATGGGAACCTGAGAACCACTCTGACTGACACCTGAAGAAGTGGGTTGTGTAGAGGGTTGCATCATAGATGAGGTAGCCATGGCTGCACTGATACTAGCTGAAATTCTAGCCCTAGCACTGTCCTCAGCTGCCCTCACTCTCCTTGCCGCTGCCCTCTCTCTAGCCTCTCTCCTCGATCTTCTCTCGTCTCATGGACCTAACTCCAAGAATGTCAAGGGTCGACTCCGGGCAGTCCCGCGAGTAGTCCTACGGTCGTCCCCTAGTAACTCCTCCTCACTTGTGCTGGCATCACTCATGAGCTACAGTGTGTGTGATCTAAACTAGAATCCACACTGAATCCTACCGTAGCTTGACACACATCCGCATATGATACACAACTGCTTACGGTCGGCTGGAACAGAAATAGTTAGGTGATGTAGTTGCAACTAATGTCAGGTCCTACAAGATATATTAATTCTATTTTTGAATAACCCTGGAACAGATTGCACTACAACAAAGATCTAATCTATCTGTAGCCGTCTGTCAGTTGTTAGCGAAGTCTGTCACAACTAGATAATCAAAATAAAAATAACATCTCCTGTTGGAGATGTACACTGAATGGCAGATTGTATGTTGATTGCCACTGCGAACAGTTACCGGAATCCCCCTCTCCCCCTGTATCCTTCTTGAGTAGTCTCTTTGTGTCAACAATCCTGAGCATCTGGTTGAGCAGCGTGTCTGAAGGTGTGCAATCCGGCCCACCCCTGTGCCCCAAGTCTTTGCCGAACAAGCCAGCCAGTCCACTCTTATTTACCCTCGTACGGAAACGAGCCTTACACCCGGTTGATCTGGCTGATCAGGAGGAATATTGAGATCGCCCCCATCTCTTCAGGAATTATTTAACGTCGCAGTCAGGACGACGATCACAGCCAGATTCAGATCCGAGTCCCCATCCAGAAATGTTTATAGACGGTCTGGTAAGTGTCTCATAAAAGGCTGGCATGCCCGGGTAAACCTCTATTGCGCAAGCAGCAGTACCAAGGACTTGCGCCCAAGCATGCGTGTACTAGTCCCAGCGGGTTGGCATGGTGACCGTGACCCGAGTGCTTCGTCCAGGGCCCTTCAGAGGCTTCGCCCGTCTCCCACCAGCTTGCTGCCCAGGAAGAATGTCGACTCTCAAGGTTGAGCGCTCGCGACACCTCACATCGAGAGGACTCCCAAG